TGTCCCCCCATTGTCCCCGTGTCCCCGCAGGCTCTCGCGGTACCAGCAGTTCAAGGACTTCCAGCGCCGCATCCTGGTGGCCACCAACCTGTTTGGGCGCGGGATGGACATCGAGAGGGTCAACATCGCCTTCAACTACGACATGCCCGAGGACTCGGACACCTACCTGCACCGGGTGGGCACAGGGGGACACGCGGGGACACCGCGGGGACGTGGGGACATCGTAGGGACAAGGGGAACCGACATGGGGACATGGGGACACCATGGGGATGTCATAGGAACAAGGGGAACCACCCTGGGGACATGGGGACACCATGGGACATCATAGGGACATGATAGGAACAAGAGGAACCACCACGGGGACATGGGGACACCATGGGGATGTCATAGGGACATGATAGGAACAAGGGGAACCACCCTGGGGACATGGGGACATCATGGGGATGTCATAAGGACAAGGGGAACCGACATGGGGACACCATGGGACATCATAGGGACATGATAGGAACAAGGGGAACCACCATGGGGACATGGGGACACCATGGGGATGTCATAGGGACAAGGGGAACCACCATGGGGACATCATAGGGACGTCATGGGGATGTCATAGGGACAAGGAGAACCACCATGGGGATATGGGGATGTCAGGAACAAGGGACACCACCTTGGGGACACCATGGGGACACCGTGGGGACATGGGGACATCATGGGGATCAACACGGCCTTCACGGCACCAAGGGCCTGGCCATCCCATGGGTGTCACATAGGTGTCACCAGGATGGGGATGGGGACGGGGATGGGGACCGTGTTGGGGACAGCGAGGTGGCACTTGGTGACAATTTTGGTGTCCCCATAGGTGGGACGTGTGGGTCGCTCCAGCAGCAAGGGCCTGGCCATCCCGTTGGGGTCACATAGGGATGGGAATGGGGATGGAGATGAGGATGGAGATGGAGATGGGGCTGGGGCTGGTGACCGTGCTGATGACCACGTTGGTGACGCTGTTGGTGGCACTTGGTGACGCTGTTGGTGATGCTGTTGGTGACGCTGTTGGTGACGCTGTTGGTGACGCTGCTGGTGATGCTGTTGGTGGCACTTGGTGACGCTGTTGGTGACGCTGTTGGTGACGCTGTTGGTGACGCTGCTGGTGACGCTGCCGGTGACGCTGCCGGTGGCCCCACAGGTGGCGCGCGCCGGGCGCTTCGGCACCAAGGGCCTCGCCATCACGTTCGTGTCGGACGAGAACGACGCCAAGATCCTCAACGACGTCCAGGACCGGTTCGAGGTGAACATCAGCGAGCTGCCCGACGAGATCGACATCTCCTCCTACAGTGAGACTGGGGGCACTGGGGATACTGGGGGGACTGGGGATACTGGGGACACTGGGGACGCTGCCCGACGAGATCGACATCTCCTCCTACAGTGAGACTGGGGGCACTGGGAGCACTGGGGTCACCTTGGGGACATGTTGGGGACACTGGGGATACTGGGGGGACTGGGGACACTGGGGACACTGGGACACTGGGACAAGGAGGGTCCTTGGGGACA